TTGCCATGCGGCGGGTACTGCCAGTGACCTAGCGACAAACTGAGCCACAGGAATGGGGCAACAAGGGCAGAACTGCCATGCGGAAAACCCTGTCAGCAGCAACGCAGCCTGCTGAGCCTCAAGAGCATGGCAGTGGTGGCAGGTTTGCCACGCCACAAGATCTGCCAGCAACACCACAACATCCCATGCCACAGCCAACAGGAACCAGGAGACAGGGAGAAGAAAAAAAGCTGGGGCCAGTGTGGACACACTTTGTAAGAGCATGCCTGCACCAATTTGCCAGCAGGGGCAGCGGGGCAGATATAAAAGCCCCGTGCTCCAGTCCAACAGGGGGACCAGAAGGAAGTCCCTTGCAGCTGAGGGAAGGCTGTGGCTGAGGCAGAGATCGCAAGGGAGATGGTTTGTGGCAGCCTCCAAGTAGGGAGCTGCCCCCATGTACTGACTCAGTGGAGTCAGTGCACTTACCTGGAGAGAAGACGTGGAAGTCCGGCTGTGGAGAGTGGAGAAAGGACAGCGGCGGACCTACAAGACAGGACGAGAGCGACGACTGGTAACAACATTGCGTCTGTTCAAAACCAGAGTAATAACGGGTTGGCACTAGGTGGGGTGCAGGGGAGGCAGAGCCCCAAAATCCTCCCGCTAACAAGCGGCCCTAGCAAGACACCACTGAGAGTAACAGCGATCCCCAAGACTAAAATTCCATCAAAGACATGGCAGATGAGAAGCATCGGTGGTCTGAGATATTGGTGCCAGGGGCAAACTGTTGGCCTGCAGGACTGCAGTTAGCTCTGGGTGGCTAGAAAAGCCTAAATGGGGAGCTCAGGACAGGCACGGGAAGTTACAGAGTCCTACATTTCTTAATTCCCCCAAAATGTTTTCTTGGAATCTAATACCATTAAACAGCTGTGGTAAGAGAATTTTTTCATTACTGTGGTGAATCCAAGTAGCTCATGTTCACTAGTACTATGCTTCCTCATGTACCTCATATTTTCAAGCAGTTCTTCCCTAATAAGAATAAGAAATATATTGCTTTCTGGATCTAAAGCTTTTAAGAGATTTTTTGCCAAATGCTTCACCATGAGTAGCCGCAACCTGTCCCCTTTCTGTCTGACCACAAAGCCCATAAGTCTGGCCACAAACCCCACAAGTGAACCAATTATGAAACATGCAGGCCACAAAGGACCTAACATCAGTTACATGGTTAGATATTAGCATAATTAATATATCCTGCCCCTCTTTGTTTTTCTATTGTGCTAGCTATAAAATTTGTGTTTGTCATTTTTAAGATCTTGCTATCTTGTATGCCATGCAATATCACCTAGTTATGTTGCCCATAAATATATGAATGCTATTTTGTTTGAGATATATGTTTTCACAACATTTCAAATAGAACAGGAAATATTGTGATTTTATTGCACAAAAGGATTTTAAGGAAATGGAAGCTATACAGTAAGTTGCATATTGTATTTAACTATATGATCAGGGTGCTATGGTAAGCGTATGCCTTTATTCCAGGGGTGGGCAAAATGCAGCCTGAGGGCCAGATGCAGCCCGCCAGGCCATTCTATTCGGCCCGTGGGGGCCCCTAAAAAATGTAGAAAATTAATATTTATCTGCCTTGGGCTTCCTGTCATGCAGCCCTCAATGGCTTGCCAAACCTCAGTAAGTGGCCCTCTGCCCAAAATAATTACTCACCCCTGCTTGATCAGATCTCTGGAAACAAACAATGTTTCAGTCTTCTTTATCTATACATGCATAAATTTCCTTGCTGCCTGGGACCAATTTAGCAAAAAGTATTTCCTGCATATGCAATATGGAAGACTTCAACAGCTCTGTAATATAGGTTGCTAGCACTTTAAATGGCATGGAAAACAGACGTGTTTTTGCTGAATCTGGCTGTAAATATCAGACCTAAGAATACTTATTTTTATTTTCTGATGACATAAACAAAGATTTTTAATCACTTCACCTGTTCATTTACTCTGGAGTGTGATGGCCCATGATGGATGAGAATCTTCACAATGTCTACATCTCCTCTCCAAGCAGCCAAATGCAGAGGAAAATAACCTTTGTTATCTGCCACATTAGTTGATGCTTCAAACTGAAGTAATTTGAGAACAATATCCCTGGAAGACAGGACACAAAGCTAACATTCTAAAGCTTGCAAATGGATATTCATGGATAAGCATATTTTATTCATATTGCCAATATTTTCAGACTGCCCAACAGAACTACTTTCAGACATCATAATTCAAGTGAAATTCCCATAGAAATTAATATTAGTTTTGCCTAGTAGCAGAATGCAGACTGCAAAATGTAACTAAAAATATTATTTACTTGTGTATTAACTATGGTTCTTTATTTTACTGACTAAAAGGGTTATTTAACAACAGACACTGGTTTTCTGAATGCATTGTTTTTGAATGCATTGTTTTGATGGATAGCTCTCAAGCAGAGAGTAGGGAAGAAAGTCAGTTTGGCTGTGCAGAAATGGTTCATTTCAAACCTAGGGGTAAGGGAGCAGCGACTAGCAATGCAGGAGTGCATGCACCCCTGCTCCCAGCTCCACCCAACCCTGTCCTCTTGCCCACCCTCCCAGCAGGCAGACACAGAGAGAGAAGCAGCAGGGACTTTTTTTAAGTCTCCAAATGCTGGGGACCCCCCCCCCCCCCCCCCCCCTTGGCACCCCTCCTCTTCCTCTCTGTCAGCATCATGTCCTCTCACTTCCCATTCACCCCCTCCCCACCCACCAATGTCACTGTCCTGGGCTGATGGGGGGGATGAAGGGGGTTCCGGAGACACTCCTGCCGCACTCCAGCTGTTCTCAGTAGGGGACAGCAGCAGAAGAAGACAGGAGGATCCCAGTCCCCTGGGCGTTCCCTGCCAGCCCAGGGGCAACTGTGGGGGGAGCAAATTCACTTGCTGCTACTGTGGCTACTTCTCTGCTGAGCCCAGTTGCTGAAGCTCCGGAGCCCCTCTCCCCACAATGCTCTTAAACCATAATTCCCCAAATCATTTCTCAGCAGTGAAGGGCTCCACAGCTGCAGAGCTGCTGCAGCCAGACTCAGCAGGAGATGGCAATATGTGGATTTGGCAGGCTGTATTCACTCCCAGGCTGGCAAGAAACACCCAGGAGACCAAGCAGAGAGGAGGAACCTACCCAGTGCCACCTCTGCTACCACTGTTCCAAGCTGAAGCAGGCAGGAGCAGCTCTATAGCCCCTCCCTTCCCCCTCAGCTGGGGACAAGGAGATCAGTGGAGGGACCAGCAGCAGCAGCAGCGGCAAGGCTGCTGTGGACAGAAGGGAAAGGGGGTGACAAGAGCAGGCAGATGGGATTTTTACTTGATTTGGGAACTTAAAAAAATCCATGCTGTTGCTCTTTGTGCAGTCAGAAGATGGGGGTGCATCCATGCCACTATACCCCTTTTGGATTTACCCCTGGGTGCTGCTGTTGGTAAGTAACCCCTTTTTTCTTCTTTATGCTAGCATATAGTCCCAGGATACTATCCAAAGATGGCCTACTTAGATGTTTACTAACTTCCCTGGAAATCTTATTTTTATTTTTATTTCTGATTTTTAGACTCCTAAGAGCAGTGAGAAAAAGCTATGTCATTATTTTTCACCTATATTTTGTTTCAGCTAGTATATTTAAATTGTTATTTTAAACATAGATGAAAATGAAAGATTAATAGAAAGAGCTATATTGAGCCATTACTTTTTAAATCTATTGACCTCAACAGGAAGTTTTACTTAAAATTCAGTGGTATGGTATGAGCTCCAGTTAACAAGTATATCAGAAAGTAAATCAGTTTTGTCTTACCTGTAAATTTGTCTTCTCATAGCTTGACACTGTCAGGCCTGACATTAGCTAATAAGTTAACCAGACTTGGGTCCAGTTGAGGTGGTTCTGTGCAAATTTCTGGACATTCAAACATTAGTTCTTTAAAGTACTGGTCTGGCACCAAAACTCCAGGAGTGGATTCAAAGCAACCCTCCCCCGCCCCTGCCAAAAACTCAACCAAAAATACCCCCATTCCCTAACTTGCCCCTTAAAGGCGCCAGCTCTTCTCAGTAAAGATATTCCATAACTGTCAGTCTGGAAGGCTAATAAAGGTCATTTAGGTCAGAGTCCTGTTGCATTTTTGTCTTGACTGGCATCTTAGGATGGGCTCTACCCAGAGGCACAGCTGGGATACTCTGTGGCCTGGGTAGCTTTGTGATGGCTAGAGCAGTGCCAAGAGCAGCAGTGCTGATCACAGTGGCATGATCAGTCACTTCTAGTTGCAGGTATTTTTTCAACCCTGCCTTCTCTTAGTTACTGTACTGGCGTTTACCTATCAATGACAAAACTGTGTAAAAAAAGTAAAAGCTAGAATATTTAGCCATACTAGTTTCTTTATTTCACAAGGAAGACCAAATATATGATAGCAGTTATGGTTGTGCTTCTATTGGCTTCTTGAGAAAGGGTACCTAGATCAAAAGATGTGTTCTAATCAGTGCTGCAAAGCAGAAGGGAGCAAAGAAGGGTTACAGTAGACAATAAGCTGAATATGAGCCAGCTGTGTGCCTTTGTTTTGAATGAGGCTAATGGCATATCAGGCTGCCTTAGTAGAAGCATTGCCAGCAAGTTGAAGGAAGTCGAAGAATTATTACCCTCTATTCAGCACTGGAGAGGCCACATCTAGAGTACTGTGTTGAGTTTTGGGCACCCAATACACAGTCCAGTAGAGGGCAACAAAAATGGTTAGGAAGCTGGCATACATGATAGGCCTGTGCAAAGCTTTGAATCATGATTTGGAGATGATTCAGATGATTCAGAGGTCGAATCTACAAATCTGAATTGAATCACGGGAAGCTTTAGGCTTTCCAAATCAATTCAGAGCTTTTGAATCAATTCAGAAAACAATTGGAGATTTGGCCGTAGGGTATAATGGGAATCAATAAACTTTGTTGTCTTTTGGCTGATTCAGATGAAATTTGCAGGGATGGTAGCCCCTGCTGAGGCCACAAAGCTTGCCAAGTTTCAAGGAGATAGGTGCAAGGGCTTGGGGGGAAACTGCACCTCAAGCTGTGGGAAAGCAAAACTCGTGACATGGGTGACACTGTATGTGTTAAGGCACAGCAGGGTGAAAGGTGTAGGCCTGCTAGCCCTTACTGTGGTCACAAAGCCTGCCAGCTGTCAAGGAGATAGGTGCAGGGAGGTTCTGGGTTCTGGGGCCCTGCACCTCTAGCTGCTGACAGGCAAAACTTGTGACATGGGTGCTTGTGCAACTGTGTCTGTCTGTCTGGGGGGGAGGAACTACTGCAGGCCTGGCTGCTAAGCTATCAGAATCAGTCATGATTCACTCAGGGACCAGCTCAATACACAGTAGCTAGCTACTAGTAACTACTAGATAATGAGCTAATGAGCAAGGATAAACACCTACAAAACCACAGACTAAGGAGAGGAAATAATCAATACAGACATTCAACTGCCCTAAGACAGAGACAGTCAGCTGCACAAGCACCCATGTCATGAGTTTTGTCTGTCAGCAGCTAGGGGGACAGAGCCCCCGAGCCCCCTGCACCGATCTCCTTAACAGCTGGCAGGCTTTGTGGCCTCACCATTGGCCACCACCCCTGCAGTTTTGACCCCGCTGTGGCTTAACACATACACATGACATGAGTTTTGCTTTCATGAATTTCGGGTGTAGTTTCCCCCAAACCCTTGTACCTATCTCCTTGAAACTTGGCAGGCGTCATGCTCTCAGCAGAGGCTACAGGCCCTGCAAGCTTCATCCAAATTGGACAAAAACCAACAAAGTTATATATATTTCATTGATTCCCCATTATACCCTATGGCCAAATCTCCAAATTGGCTCCGAAGCTTCAGAGCCAATTCAGCTGAATCGAAGTAGGAAACCAATTCGGAGCTCCGAATCAAATCGCTGCCATCCGAATCGGCTGAATCTGATCCCAAATTGAATAGTTCCCTATTCACACAGGCCTAATAATTGGCTTCTGAGGAAAGGCTATGGGAGCTGGGGATATTTAGTCTGAAGAAGAGAAAACTGAGAGGGGATTTAATAGCATCCTTCAACTACCTGAAGAGAGGTTACAAAGAAGATGGAGCTAGGCTGTTCTCAGTGGTGGCAGATGACAGACAGAGGAGCAATGGTCTCAAATTGCACCAAGGGGAGTTTATGTTAGATATGAGGAAATCTCTCATTAGGAGGACAGTTAAGGAACAGGTTACCCAGAGAGGCTGTGTATTCCTTGGAGGTTTTGAAGACCTGGATAGACAAAGCCTTGGCTGGGATGATATAGTTAGGAATGGTCCTGCAGGGGGTTGGACTAAACGACCTCCTGAGGTCTCTTCCAACTCTAATTTTCTATGATTTTATAAGGAAAAAAATCAGGAGAAAAAAAACTGAACAGTGAGAAAATATTAAAAAATGGTGGAGAAGCAGTAAAGCAGTACAGAATGCCTCGTAGTTGGAAGAAAATGACTGGAAGGCCTGGCACAATGCAGGATCTTCAACAACCAATGCAATGATATCCAACAATAATGAGCTTAGAACTGCCTCTAGTGGCTGATAGGCATTTTTAACCTAATGTATCATCTTTCAAATTGAAAATTGTATTTTCTTAACTAAGAAAATTTAAGGTACAAGCACACTATTTAAAGGATGTATACTTCAGTGGTAAAAGGTCAAACACATAGAAGATAATCAATGGAGAATTCAAGAGGCCGCATCCAAATGAGCATGGACGTGCAGTATACAGTGCTACAGATGGGTCATATGCAGGCATTCCCCGTGCTGCTACCTTGCAGCACAGGGTAAGGGTTGGGGGAGATCCTAGGGTCAAAAAAGGAGGGGGGTGCACATGGCAGCAGTGCACACTGCCCAAAATCAAAGTCTGGTCTGCTGGAACCATGCTTTGGCTGCAGGCCAGGCTCCCAGCTCCAGGAGAGCTGTGGATGAGGCTCTCTGAGGCCCCCAGGACCCCATGTAAGGCTGCTGGGGCCAGTACAGTTGCTGGCCCCAGCCAGGGCCAAATTAATGCATAGGCAAAGTAGGCACATGCCTAGGGCTGTAAGTGAAGAATGGGCCCAGTTGCACTTATTTTCCATATTATAATTATTGAGTAAAAAACATAGGGGCCCACAAGGTTGTTTGCCTAGGGCCCACTAAAGGGTTAATCTGGCCCTGGTCCCAGCCTCTCCTACCCCACTCAGGGTAACCTGCTGCACATCAGATGCATGGCACCGGTGTTCACCAAAGAAAAGTAGCATCAGCACAAGGTATGCTGATGCTTCTTGTCCCCAGGTAAACAACTGTCCACACTCATGTGGACACTGCCAGAGAGTGCTAATAGGTTCAATATTTATTTTATAAAAATATTTTTATCTAAATACAGTGTATATGTAGTAGTAAATTGTCATGGGATGGGGTCCCCAGGGTTGGCCGCGATACCCCTAGGGCTCCTGACCATGCCAATCCTGCCCAACGGGCACCCTCTCTCTCTCCTGCCATGTCTTGTTGTACTATAATAAATAGGGAGGCTGCCCTCTAGTTTGTACTTTTGGGCACGGTCCTGATGGATCCCACTGAACCCTGTGGGTTTCTGGATCCCTTTTGGGTCCCACTCCAAAATGGATGCCTCTTGGGACACCGTCAGCCTTATGGGCTAGATGTGTGGCTCCAAACCACTCCTTTACCACGCCCCAAGCCTCATAGATGGCATTCACACATTGTCCCTCCAAGGCCTTAGTTCAAGGGTACCTGGTGAGCTCCTGGATCCCCATTAACCCTAAATGCAGTATCTCTGGCAGCTGGAGCATCTCTGGGCAATTCCTCCCTGGAGGCTCCTGGCAGGGAACTCCCTTTGGCTGCTGGCAGGGAACTGTCTCTCTAGTCCCAGCCCTAGGGTTTATATTTGCCCAGGGCCCTGCCTCTTCCGGTCAGCTGACCAACTGCAGGTGCAGGCTAATTCCCTCCTTAGGCCTGCTGCCACAGTAACCTGCACCTGTGGGGTTCCTGCCTAACTGCTAGGGCTCTCTCCCTAGGCAGTTTCAGCCCTTAAAGGAGCAGGCACCTTAGTGTCCTGCAACATTAATAAATACAATTTACCTTCAGGTATTTGAAATAAAAATCCAGGAACAGTTAAAATGTTTCCAAGCATGGATAGTTCTATATTTTCAACATAGTAAAATATAAATTCTTAATGTCTGTGGTTAAAAGATACCTGAAGATCTATATTCTGTTGAGCACTGAGCAATTAAAGGACTTCAGCATTATTGAAGACCAAACCATGAATGGCTGATGTCAAAAAATCAAAGGGAAAATAGGGATGTACATTATAAACACTGAATGGATATAAATGACATGTAAAAAAATATTATGTCCTTGAATGTGTGATTAAGCTACTTTTGGGCTACAGCACTCAATGGTAGATAGACACTTAGCAATAAAAGATTACTACTGAGAAGTACAAAAGGGGACAAGGACAAAAATGACAGAATAGTTTCAATAAAAAGAGTGATTATATTGAGGATATTTCATGATTTGGTTTTTTAAAGTATTTTTCATGCTCCAGGTAACCCAAAATACTTTATTAAGCAATGAATGAGTTAGAGATAGTGTAGAGATTGTGTGGTCAAACACAATACCATTATGTGTTCAGTGGTAGATAATCACAGTGCCTTCTCTTATTACAATAGACATTAATGTTTAAGGTTATGTGTTATCTTCTACTTTTCCAAAAAGTGCCAAGGTAACCTTAACTTTCTACTGACATCTAATCAGAAATGTAAAGAATGCATGTCATTTTAACAGCTCATTTGAAGAATGTGTACTGTGGATGCCATGAGACTGGTGGGATAAAAGCTGTTTTGACAGAACACAAGAATCAAAGGTCATGGACTAAGCTATGAAAAATTGTAAAGATAATTTATTTAAATAAGTGAAATTACCATATTAAAGCAACAGGAAGGGTGTGCATTAAAATTTTTAAAAATGCAAGCAAAACAATAAAAAAGAGAACATGCCAAACAATATCTTACAATAAAAACTGCTTTTAATTTCCTGATTTTTTTGTTGTTGGTCAACCCAGCAATACACATTTTTATTTAATATTCTGCTAACCAAAAATTAAAAACAGAAAGAAGAAATTGTGCTTAATTTACAGTGAATTGTCTTATTAACATAAAATTCACAAGCTGCTGAAGTGAATTGGAATGGGAAAGGGTGAATTTCAATGCTGCTAGGTGATTCTTATTTGGTTGGAGATTGTTTTTAATAGATTCACATTATGAAAGCTCTTTTGTTACAACACAAAGAAATTAACATTTAAAAAATAAAAGCTTAATATTTGTAGAGTAATACTGAATGACGTGAAAATAAAACTACTCTAAAAATCATGCGATTCAAAAATTTTAGTGCTTTTTTTTCTGTCTTGAATAATAAGGCTCATTGGATCATAGGAAAGTAGAGCTGGAAGTGACCTCAGAAGGTCACCTTATCTAGCCTCTGGCTCAAGGCAGGATCATTCCATAATTATACCACTCTGGCCAAAAGTGTGTCCAACCTGCTCTTGAAAATTTCCTGGGATGGAGATTCCACTTCTCTAGGTAGGCTCTTCCAATGTTTGACCACCTTCATAGTCAGAAAGTTCCTCCTAATTTCCAGTCTAACTTTTCTCTGCTGCAGCTTCAAGCCATTTCTCCTTATCCTGTCCTCTACAGTAAGAGAAAACCCTGTCTTCATCCTCTGTACAATCTCCCTTCAGATATTTGAAGATTATCAACCCCCACCTCACCCCAAATCTTCTCCAGAGTAAATAGCCCTAGTTCTTGTAGCCTCTCCTCATAAGCCTTAGTTCCCAGGCCCCTAATCATTTTGTCACTCTATACTGAGTTCCTTCCAATCTGTCTACATCCTTCTTGAAGTGTGGGGCCCAGAATTAGAAAAATATTAGAATCTTGGAAGTCTCCATGCCAGCTTCTGTCCAGACATACTTGCATTACCTATACATATTTCAAGTTTTAAAATCTAGGCATTTTTGCTACAATTCTATCTAAAAATCCTTTTGACCTCTACAGAGAGATTAGGCCAAAATTGAGTAATTGAAAATACCACGTGCCCTCCTCCTAATAGTCCAACTTGTAATCTGCAACTGGTTCTATCTAGATACCATAGCAGCCATTATACTTCATTGGAGATTTTCTTGGAGTCATGTGGTAGTTTGTGTTTAGTATTCTTATATTTATTGGAAACATTCACAGCCAATCTAAAAATCTGGACAATTTTTGCAAGTCTCCTTTCATCTTCTGACAACTGACAATATATAAGGTTGCACAAGGGATAAATTATAAGAAAAGACGCATAATGTTTCTTCTTTTTTCAAAGACACAAGTTTAGCAGACTGTATTAATGACTCTTAGCTAATTCCAGAGAGATAGAGTACAGTAATTGATTATTTTGCATCCTGCTCTAGAAGTGAAGCTTTGGAGAATTTATAACACTTACCTTAGCAATACTTTGTCTTGCATTTGCTAATTTAGAAATAAATTGGCACATATGGACTGTAACAGGAATATGACTTACATAAATACTAGAGGAAATGTCAAGTTTCTGTAACACAATAAATGCATAATGTATCATAAAGATCCTGTCTTTATGTTACTTCATCTGTCTCCAAGAGTGAAATTGTGAATAAAATGGACTAAAAATGAAATTATTCTGGATCTATGTTTTGTTATTTAGGGTCTGATCCTAAGCCCACTGAAGTCAATACAAGTTTTTTCATTATCTGTAACTGGCTTTGGATTAAACCTTATCACCTAAAAAGGAATTAACCAATCTTACTGTCCAAGTTTTTTCAAACAATTAAAAAACAAAACATAAATAAATAAATCCAGACAATGTTAACATCTCTGATTTGCAAGTAGAAATTACAGAGAGGATAACAGACTTGCTCTGTGTGAACAACAGCTACTTCTTTGACAGTCACACAAGAGCATAGAAGAAAGAATAGAACTCAGAATTCCTGAATTTTATTCCCCTCTTGTAATCATTGGGTTATGATACTGTGTCCCTAGCCCCAGTTGCACAGCCTCAGAAAATCTCATATAAACACAGCCCATGAGAAAAGAATTTAATGCAAATATTTTTGTAAATCAGATTATTACACAGTTTTCACCTGTGCTAAGGATTTAAAGTTATACTACATGTTTCAAGATCATATAGAAAATTTTCACCATAAATGTTTAATATGAGTTACTTACTTGTGTCCATTTAAAGCTGCATGGTGTAAAGCAGTGTAACCTGAGCTGTCTGTACAATTTATATTTGGTCCTCGCCAGATGCTGGGGAAAAAAGCAAAACTGAAAAGTTACTTTTATTGGAAACAAAAATGTTTGACAACATTTGCAGTAGGAATAACTAAAATATAGGAGATAAATTATCTAGTATCTGAAAATGGATATATTATCTACTGGCAAACTGACTGTCAAGAATGACGGGGGTGAGGGGTGGGCTGGCAGGGATGGAGTGCAGCCTCCAAACCTGTGTCCCCTCTCCCTCCATCGTCATCTGTCCCGACCCTCCATACCCCGCTGCTTTGGGCCCAACCCTGTTCCCCACCTCCCCCGTCACTTTGGGCCCGACCCCATTCCACCCGGCAGCTTGGGTCCAGGCCCACTCCCCTCCTGCCCCTCCCCACTGCTGTGAGCCTAACCCTGTTCCCCACCCTGCTGCCACAGCTCGACCCTGTTCCCTCCCTGCCATGGTGGATCTGATCCTGTTCCCCACCCTGTTGCTGTGGTCCAATCCCGTTCCCCCCACCTGGCACCACAGCCTGACCCCATCCCCCCCCCAGCACGGTGGGCCCACCATTACCCGCTCTGGCATGGCAGGCCCAATCCCATTCCCCTTCCAGCATGGCAGGCCCAACCCCTTTCACTCCTGATACAACAGGTTTGACCCTGTTCCCCCGCCCCCTCCACCATGGTGGGTTCAACCCCATTCCCCACCTTGCACTGCTGCTTCCAAGGAGCAGGGGGCAGAGGGGGGAAGCTGGCCCCGCCATCCCCCTCAGCCAGCACTCTGTGCCATCACTGCCTCCAGGGAGCAGGGCTGGAGGAAGGAGGGAAAGCAAGGCCAGTAGTGCTTGCCTCACCCACCCCTGCTCCATCCCCTCTGTCCTCGCTGTCATGGCAGCACTCTGCCACATTGCCACCACCTCCTGTCTGGCATGCTCTTGGAGGACTCTGATTGGCTGCTGAAACAGCCAATCAGTATGCGAATAAAGCTTACAGGCAGACAAATGAACAAACTAAGCGTTTTATATATCTAGAATTCCTAAAAATTATTTTACATGTATTCACATTGTAGTAACCATGAACTCACAAAGAGTAATTTTGAGGAATAATGTAATTTTCAGACACAAAGTTCTGTTATTTAGAATGTTCTGTTCATTGTATTGTGGTTGATTCTGATCTCATTTACACGGTTCTTTCACTGTTATAACTTTGCTGACTTCCATTCAATTAGTCCTGACATATACAAGTTTGAGATTAGTTACTGCCAATGAGGAAGATACTGTCATCTCTGATATTTTACGTCCAATTGTAACAACTGCTAAATTACCAAAAGATTAGTCCAAGATTAGTGCTCTCTGTTTTCAAATGTGTTAATCTTGTGCATTTGATGTCACTTTATTCACAATTAGTTTAAGTATTTAACCTATATACTTAATTAACTTGTTGGTGTCTGGATGGTTTACAAAACAACATAAGAGAGATTTTTTTTGAAAGAAGTATGCATTGTCAGAAGTCTCTCTATTCAAGTATGATTTCTACCACAGCTCGTTGATGGCTCGAGGCAATTTGTGTGTCCGATCTTTGAGCCATGTATCTGTCTACAGAAGTTGCAGGTCTTTTTACAGAGAACAGCGGGCCATAGGCTAGGATTCTGCTCCAGAAATATGCTCATGTCATCATAAAATTACATACAATTGGCAAGAGACATTTAGAGATAGATGCATTACCTAAAAGTATGCATTCTTTTAATCATCAGATTTTTAGTTGACTGAATCCCATGTGGAAGTGGTTATTTCTGTATTACTTTATCCAGTATAGGCTTTTCAATAATTAGGGTTCAAACATCAAGACATTTGACTTGTTGTTCTGGTTCCTACAGTTTCTAAATCCAATTTTCAGCTTTCTTCCTTTTCTACTTACCTACTTAAAAATTACATACCATGGGTTTTTCTTTTACTTTTGAATCAAATTAGTTAAGAAGTTAACTTCAGCATTTACTGTTTTGCTATTAGATAAGCCCCCAAAATGACTTGCTGAGTTTAGCAGATTTTATGTTTAAAAAAATTCTTCTCTAGTAAGTCCATATTATCTAGAGATTACTGTTTCTGCATATTAGTCTTTTTCAATATTTATACTTGAATAATTAAGGAAATCATCATTTTAATAACTTTAATCATTATTTATCTATTAAGAAAATTGCAGTCATTCTGTATCATTGGTGTCATACATTATGCTGTAGAGGTGGGCTTGCTCCTAAAAAGTGCTGAGCACCTGCCTCACACTGGAATCAGTAGGAGATGAAGACACTAAGATGTTTGTAGGTTTGGGCCTTAAATGTCTTCTTGGAAATTATAGTGAAGAAAAAACTATTACCTGGTCTTTTCCAAGGATGCAAGATATGTTACAACTTCACTACATTCCAACACTGAACATACAAGACACTGTGGCTATAATTTCATTATTTCTGTGTGCCTAAACAGCACTTGCCCAGTAGTGTAAGTGGTAGTGTTGGCACTTATGCATAGTTTAAGATACTATTGCCTGTTCACTATCAATACTTGAATATCCACACAACTACTGCACATACCCAGCAGGCAGCTACATGGCCATGTAGGAAGCAGGAAAAGGAGGCCCTCCTGTGTTTTAGCCCCAGTAGCTGAGTGGTTAGGATGCTTGCTGAGGAAGTGGATGCTCAGGTTCTAGGTCCAGCCCCTCCAAAGGGGGTTGAACCCACAGCTCTCAAGCTTCCTAGTATAACATGCTAATCACTACACCACATTAGATTTTTTTCCGGTACTCCTTGGGTGCATCTACACATGCAATTAGTGCACATGAATAAACTCCAAAGCTTATTGCTCTGGAGTTTTTTGCTCCTCCTCGGCACACCATTTGATGTTAATTCTCTGCTGCTAAAGCTGACATATCCACTAATTTGTCACGGTTTATTATGTTTAGGCTTGGTCTTCATACAAATCCATCAAAGCACAAAAACTGTTGCCATTTTGTAGCAAAGAGTGAATATTTCTATTTGTTAATATGTAAGAAAGCTAAGACTATTTATTCAAAATTGAAGGCATTTGCTGTTCTATATATTTTTCATGCTGGTATAAACCAGCATTTTTCATCACAGAGGCATATTTTGCATTCTTTACTTTTTTCTCTCAATTTTCCCATCCCTTCTTTCAGTTCAGACTCACTTTCTTAAACTACTGCTGCCGTGCACTCTGATCTCAAAAAATAAGTTACAGAAATAAGAGTACATAAACTAATTTGCAAACATGAATAATCTTGTAGATAATAAGATTGATAAATGTAAACTGTATGCATAGAATCTATCTAGAATGATATACAAGAAGGACATGTACAAATCAGGGGCTGATGATGAGACATAAACATTACAGGCAAAGTAAGTAATTTTCTCACACTCATTTATGGACTTCACCTGGTCTGGACATTTCTCATGGGAAATACCACGCAGTAAGAGCCAATCCCTTGGGAGAGAAGATACAATGAAATATGAATCCCACTAGGATTAAAAAAATCTTTCCTTTTTTTTTGTCATTTAAATTTTCCTTGCCTAGTTTAGATACAGCTAAAGTAGCCCAGGAAAGAATGTCAATTTTATTGAGTTTCAGGAAGATAGCACCAATCTCAAGTGGTCATGTTGTGAATCTTGCTGTAACGAAGCTCTGTGCCCTATTTTTCTCTACCCAGGACCTTAAGAACACACTGCAGAATATCCATTAACGTGCTTAGAATGTGTTGTATTTTATGCTGGGCATACTTGGTTTTATTTGATTAACTGTGGGCTCATCTATATGTGAAGCTATGGCGACGTAACATCCATGGGTGTCTACATGTGACCAGCAGCTACTTAACTGTACCAGCATGCTCCCCCGTTATAGTGCACTGCTACAGTGAAGTAGCTGCTAAAAATAACTGTGTGCTGCGCATATGGTGCAGTATGGGCAGTTACTGTGCCCTGGTTTAGTACTTCTAAAAGGAAGTACTAAAGCACAGCACACTAACAATGTCGCTGTAAGGCAACGTGTAGACATGCCCAGAGAGACAGACATGGAAACCCCATGAAAGAAGAGTATCTACATTTCTCAGTTCTTTGGTGCAGCATGAATAGACTTTAAAATATATATTACATCTCGTTTTTCTAATAGTATTTTACTTTACAATAAAGAAGGGGGCAGGGCAGGTTGAATACGAGTCTTTCGTTGTTTTGTCTATTTGTCAGGGGGTTCATTTTTGAAAGAGGAACAACCTGGACTAAATGCCACTGTTTTAGCATAAGACTGAAAATGGGAGTTTTTAATTGAAAATGCTCCCAAAAATGAGTCTGTCAACCAATGTATTTTCTTATAGGATGCAGAAACAAATATGGTGAAGTTCCTACTAGACAATTAAAATGAATTTTTGTGAAGCCATGCAGAATGAGGCTGAAGTGTCATTATTTTACTAAGAAAACTCCTTATGTGACAGCTATGAAGAAATGGAATATATGAGAGTACCAAAGAAGACTGGCATCAAAAATATGGAATAATAATCCTAAAGTCAGTCAACTAACACACAGGTAATTTAGGTTTAAACCCTGTAGAAGTCACCTACAAGCAAGTTACTTTGACAGACATTTGAAGGTCAGGGTGATTAAGATGGTTTTAGTTAAAACTGTTCAAAACAGTGGCCTCCAGTAGTTCCATATTGACATGTTATGAACCCAATGCAGTCTACATGCGCTGGTCAGTTACAGGTACTTCATTTTATTTTCCACAGTTGTTTTAGGGATTTAAGAAATGAAGAGTGTATTTCTTTCCATGGGAAGAAAAGGAAAGATTTATTTTCCCTGTCCAAGGATGCAACTTACAAGTGTACAATATTACTACTTTCCTATTTTTTCTAAATTTCAAATAAGTCTAGAACAGGCTTGTCCAACATATGGCCCACAGGCTGCCATGCGGCCCGCCAAGGCATTTTCTGTGGCCCGCGGTGCTGCGACGGGAAACAAAAGTAAACACAGTTTACTTTCGTTCCCACCC